CCCAACAACGAACAAACAAACAAACAAAAAAACCAACAACAACAACATCTGTCACAAATATTTTCTCTGTTTCCCTTTCTTGTTTGTGTTTGTTACTTTCTTGAGACACTTCTAACATACGACACTTAATTGACCTAATTGCAAGTGCCGTAATACTCACTGTACAATACAGGCGGATCAGAAAATTGAACCTCTTTATAAGGGCTCATTCCAGTGTGGGCAGGCTGATTGTCTCCATCATCAGCTGGTTTTTGTAGCGTCTGATGGTGTCTCGCACGCCTTCACCAGGCTGTACTCCTTTCTCAATCACACTCTCTTTCGTGAAGGAGTCCTCTTCACGGCTGCTGGCTACTGGCTACTGGCTTGGTGATCTCGCACAACGACTATTATAGTTTGAAGATCAAGGCCAGGGTAAGCACCCCCTCTATGTTTGCGGAGCGTGCTAGCTTATTTGCTCTTTCATTTCCCTTGACTCCTGCTTGTCCTGGGCAGAAGATCCATTGCAAGCGTTTCATTTTGCTGTCTTGGATTGTCTTAAACCAATCTGCAAAAAGGCTGCCGGTCAGGATCTTATCCAGAGTATTCATTGAGTCTGTAACAAAGGTTGCGTGCTGGTTTCCATTAGTGCAAAGCCACTTCATGGCCTCAGTGATGGCCTTGATCTCCATGCACCTGCTTGAAGTAGTGAGGCCTGTTGTTCTAGATGCCTCCAGGATTGTTACTCCATGGCAAGAAGCTGCGTATGCCCAGCCTGATTTGATCCCACACAGAACAGAGCCACCAGTGAAGTCGAGTGATTAAACCAATCAAAAACCACTTTGTGTGACCTGGCCATTGACCCTTTGCATATTAATTAATTTACTCTTCTAAAAACCACCTCGATGGGTGACTCTGTGTGAATGCAGGGTGTACATTTCGTCTTTCGCTAATCCTTGCCACCCCAAACTCTCTTTCTACCCCATGCATGGGCAAGCGTGTCCAAGGTGCGGACCAAAGCTGGGGAAAATTGGTCAACTGCCAACGGTTGAAATATCCAAGCTCTCTCAAGTAAGACAAACTGACGCAAGTGCATTTTATGAAAAAAGATATTACTCTTACAACTATTGCTCCCAGCTGCGTTGGTAAATGTAAAGTTTGATTTTCAGGAAGGACAGTTTGTTTGTTTTTCAAATTAGTTATCAAATTTTTCAAATTAGTTATCAAATTTTTCAAATTAGTTATCAAATCACCGCAGTCCATATTTAGCCTATTGCATGTATACAAATATTACTAAGTTGACTCCTTTGTAGAACTGATATTGCTCACACCCACAGGCCTGAAATTTGCCCATGATGTTCTTCACGTGTCCATCGTCTACACCTTTATTAAAATTGACGATATCAAATTCGGCATCGCATCACATCTCATCTGCCATGCCCACCCCTTCTCTTGCCCCTCCGCTCCTGAAATTGTCTTTTTTCCCCCAACGAAATCCGTAACACTTGGAGATGCCATAGACTTGAAGAGGGCCTTTTTGCATGCACAAAGTCCTGTGTGTAAGTCAAGCTTTAAATGTTTAGTGTCCTTATTCCAAATAAAAGTATTGAACGGATTTTTACTTTAAGAACAATTCCGATACACAGCGAAAGTGGGCCCTTAAAGTGAACCGAACCCTTAGCAGAGACCATTGTACATGTATATTATTCATTTTCATGTACACTGGTAACAAATTACTTGTAACTTTACACATTTATTATTTCCTTGCCTGCGAGAAGTGGAAGCCCTCAAAACAAGACATACTATATCATATCTATTAAAGGACAACCCTTCTAAACAAACAAAGAAACAAACACCCCTAAAACAAGCAAACCAACAAACCACAAAATGAAGAAAAAGAAGGAAAGCAACGTGAAACAAACAAATAGATAAACAATCAAACAAACAAACAAACAACAAAAAAAGAAGAAAAACAAGGAAAGCAACATGAAACAACCATTGCATGTATAAAGGGTTCTGGAAATAAAGGGATGTAACTACTACTGTACGAACTGAGATAGAATATTTAATAGGTTATTTCCCTTTTAAATCTATCAGTTCTCCGCTTCCTTCCAACTATAATTAAATACTCTCTGTTTCAACTTTAATCTCAAACACGAATTTGCATGTTCCAAAACATGCGGGCATGCTGTTGCCTTTTTAAAAAAAGTTAATGTTTCTGAAGAAAACTGGACTGAAAATCAGTACGAAAAATGAAGTTATGCTTCTTTTTTTTTTAAGTACCTTATTGGCGCTGATTTGACT